AAAAAAAAAATACTGGCCCTGTAGTATTTGGGGATGAGGTGACTCCGCCTTCCCCCCCCACCCCCGCCCGCCCCTTTATTCTTGAAGTCAGACACCACCCTGTCGTGATGTCATTGGGCATCACAGCCGCTGGAATGTGGGCAAGTGCCCGCGGTGGCCAACCCCCCTGGCGCTGAGTTGCTGATGCTGGGGAGTGCTGCTCCCTCTCCTGCGCTTGTCTGCAGACAAGCGTCTCTCCAGGATGCAGATGCCCTGGAGCGCGAACCTGCGCGCAGGGCCCCTCCAGTATCCTGCAGGGAGGTTGTCAGACAGGTGCGTGAGGCGCTGCCAGCTTGAAGCAAATGTCAGCCTCAGTTGGTTTGGCCTTGCCGGCGGCCTGGGGCGTGCTCCGCACTTGCCTGGTGGTTGGGGCTGTACTCGACGTCATTTTAAGAGCCTCGCTTCGGAAATAAAGCCAGGACAGCCAGAAAGATTCGAGTTGGTTATCAGCTGGCGTGTTTCTGCCGTTTCTGTTCGAGCCACTGCTTTCAGCCAAGCTCAAACTTGAACTCAGGAGAGGACCAGTCAGTGTTGGAAAACCTGTTGCTTGTAGCTTCGCTATCAGCTGTGATTTAAAATAGGAACAAACGCGGAGTATCCAGATGACCTTGCCCACAGCAGCTTCCCTTCCCAGCATAGTCCACTGACCTCGGCAGTGTCCATTGTTTTTGCTCCCGATAGTCACAGTCGCTTGCCCAGTGTTGCTAAGGCTGAAACATCTAGATCATCACCGCCCAGCTACTCTGGGCTGTGCAGATGTGCTGATGGCGCCAGCATTTGGTACTGTGGATCACCGTTAGTCACCAGGGCAGGCTAGTTGCCAGCAGTGGGATTCTGTGGCAGCGGATGACTCCCTGGTTCTCCAGTGAGACATGACACACTTTTATGGCTTAGGCTGTGGTAAGACTTTTATTTCTAAACATTGTCTCAGCTTCGTGTTCAGATGAGAAAATAAATATCTCACTTCAGTTGCTGGATTTTGCCCTCTGAAAATGTATCCTACACAGGAGTGAACGCTGAAGCAACTCACTTCTTTTCTCCTTTTATAGCCTCTGATATTTAAGGCTGGGCCTCCCTGATGGTGCACAGGGGTCTCAGCCCTATGAAGCTATCGGCAGCCCTGCAGCACGAGTTCCACCCGGCCAGAGCTGACCCGCGGGGCACAGCAGACCTCTGCTGTCTTGCCTGCTGCTCCCCTCAGGATCTGCTATTTCAGTGGATACACCTGTTTTGTTCCCCACACTGTCTCTGGTGAATCCCCATACTCTCCTCACCCCCGCTGCCCCCCATCCCCACATCTCTGGCCTAGCACCCCAGCTCTTCTACTCATAAACAAAATAAATCTTTTAAAATATATAAATAAATAAAATAATAATATTTAAGGTTTTATAGCTGCTCTCTAATTATAGGGGCCAACTTTTTAAAATATATAAATTTTAGTAAGAAAATAGGGTGAGATTTGTAACTAATTATTATTTTGTGAAATGTATAAAATAAAATTCTGATATTCATGTTAAATACTTGCCTTAGTAAGGTATTCTAAGTGGGTTTAAAATTTTTATACCCATTTTATTCCTGTGTGCAAACTGGTCAAACCATTTTTGTACAGCATAAACAGTTAATATGAAGGTATACCAGGTATACCATCATTTTTATTCACTGCCATTTTATGATTCCCTGGCTATGATCCTCAGTAACAGATACTTTAAATAATATTAGAGGGGCAACTTCTTTTCAATTCAACCAGAATTCCTTACATTTCCTCAGAAGTTTGGAAATATACAGCATAATTTGGGCCTTATCCATCAATATTTGTATATTTTAACAATATCAATAAAGAATTTGAGATAAATTAGAAGTGAATAGCAACAGCTTTTATTTACGGGCTTGCTAAAGTGTTAGGCGTATTTGGTTCTTACAGCACAATAAATAACCAATACTGTTAATATTGTTCCCCTTTTGTAAATTTTTTTTTTTTTAAGATTTATTTATTCGTACAGAACTGGGGTATAGGCCAGAGATGCAGAGGGTGAGAGGATTCACCAGAGACAGAGCAGGGAGCAGAACTGGCAGATCGAGGAAGTACACTGCTGAGGGGAGCAGGGGGCGGTTCAGGAGAGGTCTGCCACGCCATGTGGTCACCTTCAGGGCAGGCAGGGATCGAACTCATGAGGAAGTGGCTTAAGCTTCTTTGTGCTGTGCTTTAACCCGCTGCGCCACCAGGGAGGGCCCCTTTTGTAAATTTAGAAGCCAATAATTTAGAAAAAAGTCTTATATTGTTACTCAACATAAAAACAGTACATGAACTGTTAGTTGACTTCAAAACGAGTATATGGCATGAGTTTATCTGTATAGATTGCTGAGTAATAGTCCACGGCATATATAGACCTCACCTTCCAGATCCTGTCATCTCTTTTTGGGCATTTGGGTTGTTTCCATAGCTTACTTATTGTAACTAGTGCTGCAGTAAACACGGGGGTGCAGGAATTAATGCTTTTGTGCCCTTTGGGTAGATCCCTAGGAGTGGGGTCACTGGGTCATATGGCAGCGCCATGTTTAGCAGCTTGAGGAGCCTCCACACAGCTTTCCGTAGTGGCTGCACCAGTTTGCATCCCCCAGCAGTGCAGGAGAGTTCCTTGTTCTCCACATCGTGGCCAAAGCTTGTTGTCGCCTGTTTTTAATAGGTGCCATTCTTACTGGTGGTTTTGATTTGCATTTCCCTGATTATGAGGGATGCTGAACATTTTTTCATATGTCTGTTGGCCATTTACAATTCCTCTTTGGAGAAGTGTCTTTTAAGTTATGCCCATTTCTTGACTGGGTTGTTTGTTTTGTTTTTGTTGGTTCAAGTGAGCTCTTTGTGTATCTTTGTGATCAGTCCCTTATCTGTTGTATGGAGTGCAGAGATTTTTTTCCCAGTCAGTAGTGTGTCTCTTTGTCTTGGTTAATGTCTCTTCTGCTGTACACAAGATTTTCAGTTTGATGTAGTCCCTTTTTGTTTATCTTTTTCTTCATTTTCTTTGCTTTGGTTGATGAGTCTTTAAAGATGTTATTGAGGTGTATGTCTCGTAGTGTTTTAGCTATATTTTCATATATATATATATTTTATGGTTTCAGGTCTTATGCCCAAATCTTTTATGCATTTTGAGTTGATTTGCAGGGTGTGAGTTAATGGTCTGAATTCTAGTTGTTTTGTCTGTTCAGTTCACTGGGTGATCTTGTTTCTTCATTTTGATTTATATGTAGTTGGCTACTAAAATTGTTTTATTCATTCGGAATGGAGAGAATAGTGCCAGGAAGAATGAGGCTCATGCT